CCCCTATGACGAATAATTCACCCCTCCCCCTATACACTTTGCTAGCTCTCCTTAACGCTTAATTGCCCACTTTATATGTTGCTTGCTTTCGTTGACATTTAATTGTTCCCTTCCGGTTATAAGTGTTACTTGCTTTCGTTGTCATTTAATTGGTCCCGTCCCCTTTAATTGTTGCTTGCTTTCGTTGACGGTTTGTTATCTGACGTTGGACTCCTGCAAGAGTTCGAAAGCTCAGACAAATAAAACTACGATGCCGGTGATCGAAACTACTTCTTCTGAATCTATGCACATACTGGGATGCGAACCTTTGCCTTAATTGGTACGAATTTTTTTCGGAACACACACCAGGGTTTTGCCTAGCTGTTGGCTACACGTCTACCTTTGGGGGATAGTAGAACGGTTTTCTTTTATTTGATGCCTTTCTTTTTCCGCAATCATATGCTAACGCCAGTATCCTCTACCTTCTTTATTCAGCCGTACTGTAACTATATCAGCCTGTGCGTTCTGTGCTGGGTCGTACAGTGCTCGGTCACAAAATATACCCTCAAGTTTCTCACTATGGTGTTCTCGGTGCATCACTACAGTCTTTCATATTTTATCCATGGGCAAGATGAAACGTTCATCGTCCCATTGCTTATTTCATAGCTTTTAGCTCTCAATCTTTCCAGTCCGGCAATCAAAATCTACGGTCCTTGCCAATATCTGTCGAGTTCTTCAGGGTTCTGTCTTATGTCCTCTCACCTCAGCTCCCTCCCTAATGATGACTTTAAGTCGTCAACCGACACTTTATGCGTCGATAATGCAGTTGGTGGCCGCCCTCTTAAAAGTCAGACATATTTACAGCTTCTGAAGGGTAAGCAAGGACCGACATACCCGCGACCAGTTTACGCTGAATGGATATTTGAAGGCGTTTCAAAGCTGATCTTTACACGTTAGTCTTCGGCTTTGGATGACCCAAATAGAAACATCACCGACTGACGTTTGGGAAGCGTCTGAACGCGTCGCTGTGGGACTAGGGTTTGAAATGACATACCAACCCAAAGTCGCCATGCGCAACAGGATGATGAAAATCAAAGGCTGAGAAAAAATCGATCTGCCCCTAGTGCTGGACATGTATCAAGCGCTCACGTTCATGAATGAGACTATCAAAATGCAGACGTGTGAGTGTGAAGGTTTATTAAAATTGGAAGTCAAACTACTTAAATGCCGCCTGATTTACCCTCCGTTTCCGCATACTTCTCAGCCGCATAGAGGCGAGCAAGGTGCGGAATACCACGCAGGCACAAATTCTAAAACCGAGGTAGATAAGTAAACCACAGTGTGAGTGACACTTACATGGCTGAGATAGGGACTCTCCATGCCCACCAGATGGTGCTGCCAGCCCAATATGGTTAAATGCAGCATGGCCAGACGAATGTAGTTTGTGAAGGCGCGACAC